ACCCTAAACCCTAAACCCACCTGACGTCGGGCTTCGTGCAAAAAGTGGAAGGCCAAAGGCCCGGGCCCCAGCCGGGCCATCCCGTGCCTGTGTGATAACTCAACCCTAGGTTTAGGGTTTAGGGTTTAGGGTTTTGGCTTTAGGGTTTAGGGTTTAGGGTTTAGGGTTTAGGGTTTAGGGTTTAGGGTTTAGGGTCTAGGGTTTAGGGCCGCCTCAGAGCATTGGTGCAAGCGAACGTCCATTGCTTTTAAACAACAACCCTAAACCCTAAAGCCTAAACCTTAAACTCTGTACCCTAAACCCCAAACCCCAAGGCAAAAAGAACCTATCGAAAGCTCCCTAGGATGAAGTCGCTGCTTGGGCAGCGCAGGATTGCCGCGTAGTGCGAAAGCTGCGGCTGACGAAGTTCCCCGGGAGAGATGTTTCGGTATTTTAGGTTTTAGGGTTTAGGGTTTAGGGTTCAGGGGTTTGGGTTTAGGGTTTAGTGCTTTAGGGTTCCTTTCAGGGTTCAGGGTTTAGGGTTCCTGTACGGGTTCCTTGAAGGGGTACTGTAATGGGGTTCTATAAAGGTTCTATAAGGGCATTTACAAGGGCACCTTTTTAGCCCTGGGGTCTGCAGGGTCTCTTTTGTTGTTGCTTTGCATAGTTTCGGAGTTTTGTGCACCCTAAACCCTAAGCCCTAAATCCTAAACTCAGACTGTGTTCTTTATGCTTTATGTCATTTCGGGCTTCAAGTCGCTTTGGGGGCTTTGGGTTTAGTTTGGTTTCGCTGCCGATTTCGGGTGAAGATGCTTAGGCACTCTTGAAGTGGCCGGGATGTTCATGCATGGGGCCCTAGGATTCCGGGGTGGGCCCACAGAGCCCATTACACCTCAAACACAGGAGCTTACATTAAGTTGTAGGGGGTGTGATAGTATGATGAAAGGTAGACGCCTGAAATTCCAGGAGGCTTCGAAGCATGGTTTATGGAATATTTCTCGGTGTAAGCTTCATCCCTAAACCCTAAACCCTAAACCCTGAACCCTAAACCCTAAACCCTAAACCCTAAACCGATTTGCTCCATCGTTCCGGGGTAACCGACCGGGACATGGACTTTCGTACCTCAAGCCTCAAACCCTACATCCTAAACTCGCCGCCTCTGAAATTCTAACCCTAAACAACTTAATCCCGAAAGCCCAAACCCAGTCAGGCTTCCAAGCTCTAAACCCTAAACCCTGAACCCCTACACCCCAAACCCTCTTTTATCATCTGGATTTCTTAGTCATTCTATACTGTATTTCTATAGGAGACTTGTAGTTACCAGATATAGGAGAATTCTAAGTGTTGGAAGTTATCACATGATAGTAACTACCTTGTACCACTAGAAATGACCTGGAAATATAGGTCTAATGTAATGATATAATCTAGGTGTATCCTAATGACTCAAGATTCCACATATTTTGACCTAGGGATTATAGGAAAGAAGTAATTAGGAACCCCCTAACCCCACAAAAATCCCTCCAAAGCCCTGAACCTTTAGGCCTAAACCCCGAACCTCAAAGCCTAAACCCTAAACCCTAAAACCCTGAACGCCTAAGCCCCTTTCCCGAAGCCCTAAACCCTAAACCCTAAACCTGAAGCTCTATAGCCTAAACCCTGAATCCCGACCTACACCCTCAACGCGATATCCGAGTCTTGCGGACGACCCCAGCGCCCTCTCGCATGTGCGAAGTATCCACATCCTCGAGGTCGGTCGAAAGGGGGTTCCTATAAGGGTAGCCTAAAGATCCCTTTAAAACAAGTTTAGGGTTTAGGGTTTAGGTTTTAGTAAACCCTAAACCCTAAACCCTGAACCCATCAGGGAGCGCTCTGAAAGGAGCCCCCAGGAGAACCCGATAGTGCCCCTTAAAAGAACCCATAAAGGCTACGATCGAGTTCTACCGTAGGGCCCACTTAAACGGGGCACTCTAGGGTATATTGTGGCGTTTTAGGGGATCCACAAGGATTATAGGGTTTAGGGTCTATCATCCAAGGCAATGGGCTTCCATAACAGAGTTCCACTTAAGGGCTCTTTCAGGGGATCTATAGGGTTCCCTGAGGGGCTCCTTTAAGGGATCGATAGGGCTCCCCCTAAGGCTTCTATAGCAAGGGCTTCGGGTTCAGGGTTTCGGGTCTCAGGGTGTAGGGTTTAGGGCTTCGAGTTCGGGTTTGGGGGTTTGGGGTTTAGGGTTTAGGGCTTAAAGGTTTAGGGTGTAGGGTTTAGGGTGTAGTGTTTAGGCTTCGAGTTCAGGGTTTGGAGTTTGGGGTTTGGGGTTTAATGCTGTCAGTCCTGAATCTGAGGAAGACTTCGACAGTTGTCGGCTCGTGGAAAACATAAGCACTTGTACCCTAACCCTCCAGGTACCTACTATATAGGGCCCTAGGGGATCTAGCACCCTGTAGGGTTGGGGATAGTAAACTCCAAAAAGTTGGAAACCGGATTAAGGAGAAATAGTGCTGGGATTTCCTAGACATTGCTCTTAAGCATTGGGGCTATTGGGCTTCCAACTTTTGGTTCTTCTACTATAAAACGTCTGAACCCCAAACCTAAAGCCCCAAGCCAAAACCCCCAACCGTCCTACTTAGAGGTTCTTGGGTAATTACAAGGTTAATAGGAGAACCATAGCATCCAAATTTGCGGACTTGTAACCCCACCTATAAGTTATAACGACCCATGAACCTCTAAGTAAAGGGTTCCACCGCCAAACCCTAAACCCTAAACCCTAAACCCTAAACCCTAAACCGAAATGGCTACGGCTCAAGCCATTTGTCCCAAAACTGTTGTGAAAGTTCCCCGTGGGCCTTCCCATCCTCTTTCAGGAATTTCGGCTGCCTGAGGTCGCTGTGCTCTGGGCGAGGTTCTTCGACTTGGTTCTGCGCTTGCTCAGCGTGCGTTGGCGGCCAGATCTTGAAGGAGGGGTGCGTGATTCAGGAGATTGTGAGAGTGACGAGGCGGCCAGTTGCTTGAGGCCTTCTGCTCGGTCCGGGATTTTAGCGGGGTGACGTGGCGGCCAGTTGCACGTGGCCTTCGGCGCGATTCGGGAGTTTGTGAGGGTGACGTGGCGGCCAGGTGCTCGGGACCTTCTACGTGATTCTGCACAAGGGTGACGGTTGTCAGGGCTGCTTGCCGGTGTCTTCTTGCCTGAGGGGTGAATTCTCTGCTCGCCAACTTGACTTTCAGCCGTCTCGCTGTGGGTGAAATGAACCAGACGGCGCAAGCCCTCCAAGCGATGCAGGTTGAAATCCCTTCACCTACTGAAATCGCTGAGGAAGAGGACAATGATGAGCCCCAACTCATGCAGGTCAAGCAGGAAAAAAGACGGCGAGATGAGGATCATCCTGGCTATGGCATTGGCAGCCCCCTTGCCCCTCCTGACCCTTTTGATGATGAAGATGAGGAACGTAAGGAAAGTCCCAGTAAACGTGCTTGTCGCACCGACTCGGCTCCCCTCAACGAATTCCGTAACCTCCTCTTGGGCCATGTGTCTGAGATGAAAGAGGCATGGCGGAGCTTCCAAGGCAGACTTGAGACCGTGGAACAGAAGCAGCAAGCTCATACCACGGACATCCTTGCCCTGGACACAAGAACTATGGTCATCGAGAAGGACAACCTCCAGCAAAAACAGAAGCAGGACCTGACCAACAAGAACCTCGACGCCCTCACCAAGGACGTTCAAAAGTTGCAAGTCCAGGTGACTGAGCTGCAGGACAAGAACAAGCAGCTGCCGGTCGCCACCAGATCCGGAGCAGCAAGTGGCACTTCTGGCCCTCAGTCCTCCGGGGTGTCAGATCCATGGGGTGAGTATCTCCGTAAACGTGACGCCGGACAAGCTTCTGCACAGCCACTTCCTCCTCCTGATCGGGGTGATTCCTTGACGGAAGATGAGAAAAGAACCATTGTGATTGGAGGGTGGCACCGTGACACAAAGCGTGCAATCATTGAGCAGGAGGCGGGTGAAGTTCTCTGTTTGGAAGGCTTGGCGTCCCTGATTGACAGTAACAAACTCGTCGTCTACGGGCCGAGAAGATCTGTTGGCATGCTGAAATTTACGGAGAGAGAAGGAGAAGACTTTGATGCGGTGCGAAACAGGATGTGGGAGACCGTCAAGTTCCTGGCCAACCTGCAGCACCCATTGGCTAGCACCAGGGAAAGAGATGGGGTGAAAAAACTCTGGGGAAGCTTCGTGAAGACCAAGAACGCCAGAGCAAAGAGCGCACACGTAAGCCTTGTGCGTCGTGTCACGATTGCCCTCGCACTCGACGCTAAAGACGCCAACGGACAGATCCCATGCTTGCTGAATACGCAAACAACGGCTTATGATTGCGATTGGAATTTAGGCACCATTTGGTGCGGGCCGTATAAATTGGCAAGCGCATCCCACCGTCAGCCTCGTGAGGGTGAACACATTGTCCTCACTGGTGGCTGGGTGTCCTTGGATGGGGTCGCTGCAACAGCTGGCTGTACCGTCGACGAAGCAAAGTCGGCGTTCGAAAGGGAGCTATGAGGACCTATTGCGCTTGGTTTCACTCCTGAGAATTCACAAACAAGTTTTGCGATGAATGCGACAGACTCTTTCTCGAAGAGAAGAGGTCGTGAACGACTTCAAGTGTGTGCAAAACGCAAATGGGGTCGCATCGCTCAATGGAATCTTTGCGGACAAGCCCTTTCTCTTCTTGATGTTGCAGCGGTTGATGCGGACATGATCTTTGTACAGGAGATTTCCCGGGGTGAAGAAGGATGGCAGGAATTTGACACTGACGCCTTCCACTGGGTGACTTTCAGGGATAAGAGCCTCTGGAGAGCCACGGGCATCGGTTTCGCCTCTGATCAGTTCGACAGCATTGTGCAGAAGGTCCACACAAAGCGAGGACTTTGGGTGCTAGCAAGGCTCAGAGGAATAGGCCGTGTGGTCTGTGGTAGCCTGCATGCGCCCACGGGAGTAACCAACGCATGCTATCAAGCATCGGCCTTGGAATTCATGCACAGCATGCCCGGCAAGTGGAGACAGTACCCCCTCATTTGTGGAGTAGATGCCAATGAGGTGCCCAACTGGACGGACTCACTTGAAGAACCGGGTACGCGAAGTCTGATTGGGCAGTGCTCTGACAACCTCAACCTTCTTGTTGATGAAGCAGCCAAGATGGGATGCCACCCGGTTGCCCCGCTCCCGACTCAGCTTCGTTGCCCAACTCATTTCCCGTGGGATGAAAGCAGACGGGGTCGCCAGATTGACATGCTTCTGACCAGACAGTGCAACATCTCGGAAGTCACAATTGAGGCGGACAGGCGCTTTGTCATTGGCACAGACCATGCCTACCTTCACGCAGACCTCACCGTCACTGTTGGCCCACAAGGACACAAATGGGGCAACGACTCGAGACCGAGATGGGTACATAAGGCCTTCCCGGACGACACTGTCCTCGTTGACGCAGAAGATGTGATCAACCTGGGACGTACCTGTTCCAAGCCGAAAGCCTCCCTTGCCTATGTTGATAACCAGGAAGTCAAGAACGCCATTGCCCTTGCACGCCAAACTGGCACGAAATCAGACTGGAAACGGGTCCATCGTCTTCGGAAGAGCGCTCGACGAGATTGGGCAACTGCTCGCATCAGTCGTATTCTGGGGGGCAATTGGGATGACTATCGCCAACTACAAGCTGAAAAGAAGCGCAAGAAAGGATGGTGGGGTGATCTTCTTCAGGATAAATCTTCCCGGCAACTTACCTCAGAAGTCCAAGCTCACCTCGAAGGCAAGATGGTCGACGCGAACATTGTGGACTGGGACACTGTGCTCCAGAACGAGATTGACAAAATCGAACAGGGTGAGTTTGTTCCCTTCAGCATGATTGACGTCAGGGGTGAACTTCAACAAATGAAATGTCGAAGCGCTGTGGGACCAGACGGAATTGGGGTGCATCTTCTCCGTTGCCTTGCGTCAGACGACAACTTGGCGCCCCAACTCCTGGACCTCATTAACCACATTGTCCGGACACAGGAGATTCCTGAATCCTGGCATACCAGCTTCCTGGCGTTACTTGCGAAATGTGAACGTCCACTTTGTCCAGGTGATCTTCGGCCAATCAGTGTCAGCTCGGCCTTCAACAAGCTCATCAACCGCATGGTATGCTCCCGTGCCCTTCCCAAACTACGCAGGGGATCCAGGATCTCCGCTTGTGGGGGTGGTAGACAAGCTGCAGACCTGATCGGAGCGGTGTCCAGAATTCGAGATGTCACTCGTGAATGGAAGATTCCAGTGCTGCTCTGTAAACTTGATGTGGCAGGAGCCTTCGACCGTGTTGATCGCCGGAAAATCGTCGAGATTCTCGTTGCGAGGCTGAGTTCTTGTGGCTTAGGGGGTGAACTGAGATTCCTTCTGGCACAACTGCGAACGCATCGTCTGATAGGACGTGTCCCTGGGGGTGAGGAAGTTTCCATCACGCCCAACACTGGCATCAAACAAGGAGCACCCGAAAGCGCGGAAGTTTTCGGTCTCGTCGTTGACGCAATCCTCAGTGAACTGACCAGCTGCCGACAGTGGCATGGCCTTGGAGAAGCTCTGCCCGGCTCGGGAGTCGATCTCATGTTTTATCAGGACGATATCTTTATCGCAGAACAACAACTAGGGCGACTGTGTCAGCGGGTGAGAGCAGTTGATCGTTGCCTACAACGTGCCGGACTGAGGCTGGCCGCAGGCAAGACGAAGATTAT